TTGGCTTTATAGGGCTACACAACTAGGGGTTAACCCATCCCCCAACCTTAGTGGCAATGGGATTTGACTCGAGTATCTACTACAACAAGACAAATAACCTATCAATTAAGCCACCTTTAGTTGGTTCTCAAGCTAAGCTGTTGATTTATGTACTCATAATATTTATATTATATAAAAAGAAATAAGTTTGAAACTCAATAATTGAAAAAAGGAAAGAAAATATTTTTTCTACTATTTTATATGTAAAGAGCTATGAATATATAAAAACTTTCACGAATAATTGTTACTTGATTTTTTTCTCTTGGATTTTTCCCTTAGAAAAGTGCATTTAAAAAAAGTTGCATGTGCATTGAATGGGTCATTGTTCCTTTCTCATACATGTGCATATTTATTTTTAAATTAAATCATTAAAATTATAACAAGTCAAAATTAAAACCCACATAGGTCATCATTGTCTCTCATAAAATCCATATTTACTTTCTAATAAGTCAATTCTTAAATATCTCTCTCTCTCTAATAAAGTAAAATTGTAAATTAGATAGATTGGACTAAGTTAAGGAATAACCCTACCTACAAGTCTTTAGTTATCTTTGTGAGCCTGTGGTTATCTTTGTTAGTTCAATTTTGAAATTGTCTTTTTTTTTTTAACTTGGTTATTCATCTCATGCAAAACACATTTTTTTGGCATTATAGGGTTACACAATGGAGGGGGGTATCCCATCCCCGGAACCCTTAACCCCAACCCTAGTAGTAGCGGGATTTTATCCCATGTCTCTGCTATAACTAATTGAGCCACCATCAATTGGTTTTCATGCTAAGTAGTCATAATATATTTAAGCTATATAAAAAAGAAATAAATTCGAAGCTCAAAAATGGTGATGCCACATGGCATGCCATTGACGTGGTTGGTTATATCACATAGCATCTCTAAAAAGTAACAACTTTTGCTATGGCATATAGTTTTAGCTTGGCACTACAATAGTGGAATCAAAGCCTCTATGTATTGTGATAACCCCACTTTGATTAAAGAAAAAAAAAAGGAATATAACTGAAATAAAAAATAAAAGTAAAATAGATAGCAATAAATTTCTTTAATTGTCTATTCTTATTCTTATTTTTGTTCTTTATTTTCTGTTATATATTTTTATTTCAATCATTATATATTTATTGTTATTTTTAATTTTTGTTTTCTCTTATTTCAAATTGACATTTTGTTTATTTCTTTTCTTTTAATTATTTTGGCTGAACAGACATTAAGGTCAAACATGATTTTGGTCTAAATAAGTTAAAATGTCCAAAGTAAAGGGAGCATTTTATGCAAACTATAGAGTAGGTCTTAGCAATCACTTATAGGGGTGAGTGACTTAATAAATGACCCTAAAAAATATAAAACATAAGAGTCAAGTGTACCTTTTTTATTTGGGAGATACCAATCATATAATACACATGTGCTTTGCTTAAAAAAAGGGAAAATTTTCAATTAATGCCCTGTACTTTGAGCCTAGTGCCACTTTGTTCCTGAACTTTCAAAATGTGTCAATCTAGTATCTACTATTAATCAATCGTTAAGTGACATACAGAAAGACAAAAATGCCCTTCAGGTGTCATCTAATTTTCTTTATCAACCATCCAAATGCCCAAACATGACAATGGACGATGCTTGTAGAACCGTGGACGGGGATTATACTCATGAGATTAATCTCATGGAATCCCCATCCTCTAATTTTCTTTATCATCTCTACTCTGTTACGACTATATTCATGAGATTGAGTAGGGGGTGGATTCGAGCCAAGCCGAATAGTATGAGGCTCGAGCTTGGCTCAAGTCAAAAGCTCGTAAGCTCGACTCGAGCTTGATTTGAGAAAAAATATTTAATAAAAATAAAAATTATATGTAAAAATATTTTTATTTGATATTTGATATTTAAAAATTAAGAATTATAATAATTAGTTATATTATATATAAAATAAAAATATTATATTTATAATATTTTTATTATATATATATTATCTTCTATAATTTTATATTTTATTTTTTATATATATGTAGCTATTTGAGCTTGGCTCAATTAATAAATAAACCTGTAAATTGGGCTCGAGCTCGGTTGAGACCGAGCCAAGCCAAGCTTTTCACAAATTGAGCTCGAATAGCTCGTGAAGAACTTGGCTCGTGGCCACCCCTAAGATTGAGATGATGAGAAGATTAATCCCTTCCTCTTGATTTCAAGAATTTTGATGAAAAATGATCCAAAATCAATACTTTTATATCAACCAAACAAACACACATGCGAGGAAAGAGAGACAAAATCAAGTAACAAACAGGAAAAACCCATTACCATCGGTTTCCATTTTTGCACTTTGGAGATCTTTAGGATTGGTTTAGTTTACCAAATTCCAAACACTAGCACGTCCCACAGGAATGCTCTCCTCTTCCATTCTTTCCACCAATGACTATTACCCCAAAATCAATTGTTTTAGAATCCAGCAAAGTAGCCCAACTGCTCAACTTTTACAAATCGAACAAGAATACTTCTTCATGGACAACACCATTCCCCTTGAACGAAAGGATAAAAAACTGCCTCTTTTATTCTCAATTATCTGTAGAACAAAATGCCTAATGCAAAGAAGAAAGTCCCAACCTTAGGCTAATTTACCGCCACTTAGACATGATTAGTGAACAAGTAAAGTAGTAGAAACCTAGATTCTTCTAGCACAAAAGAAGACCGGTAATAGATGAACTCAACGTTTCAAACTCAATTCCATAGTATGGGGAAAAGAGGAAGATTCAATTCTTATATGCTCAAAACTCAATTCTCCTATGCCGTCGGTTTCAAGCCCTAAAACCTCACCATGATTAAATCCACATAAATGCCCTAAAAATCAGAGATTTAATATCACCCAAATCAAATTAAAGCAATTCCATTTAAGTAGATACAGAAGAGTTCACATCTGCCCCCTGGAGAATGCGCCCCCAAAACGCCCCACATGCACATCTCAGTGTGCATTGAGAATATCTCTTGTACTTGTCATTGGGAGATGTTTCCAATACAGGATTGGGATGTGATGTGGGACTTTTTGGAACACATTCTGTGGGAGGCAGATTTGAATTGGATAAAGAACCCATAAAAGAGAACTGAAAAAAAAAGAAAAAAAAATACATATTTTACTTCAAAGAAAAAAGCAAAACCAATAAAAAAGAGAAAATATGAAATAAGATGCAATAAATTGGCACAAAAGAGAGAAAACAAGAGACATGGTTCAACAAGGAAGGGAGAAAAGAGCTGGTAGTCTAGACTTTGATCCCTAACTCATTGTTTTGCAACTTTGTTTCATCTTTTTGAGGAAGATGATGAACAATGTTTTATTTTGAAAGATAATTTTAATATTTTCAAAAATCTTAAATTGCACGTGATGTCATGTGATACACATAACTGATGGTCTTTTAAGAATAAACTAGCGAAGGGGGCCCTGTGTTACAGGGGCTCGCTCATAACCTATTAGGTTCGAGCTCGACTCGAATTAGAGACTTGAGCTCGAGCTCGAGCTTGACTCGAGTCAAAAGCTCGGAAGTTCGAGCTCAGCTACCTCTGAGGTGCCAAACTGAGGTCTCCCTCTGCTACTATAGTGTCGAGTTGAAGTTTCCCTAGCAGGCGAGGTGTCGGGCTAAGGTCTCCCTTAGTTAGGGGTGATCATGGGTTGGGCCGGGCCAATGTCTTTCATATATAAAACATTATATATCAATAATATTTTATATTAAATGACATAACATGCATATAAACTTTTATTGTATATATTATATAATATAAAATATTACATATAATATAAATTATACATGTCATGTTATAATATTTATATATAAAATATATAATATAATGTAAAATAACATGTATACATTATACACAAAATGTGTAAGTTTAAATATATGCGGGCCGGGCCGGGCTTGAAGTATTAAGCCCAAGCCCGGCCCTAAAATTTGCGGGCCTGATATGAGCCCGGGCTCGGGCTGGGCTTGAACACAAAACCTAGGCCCAAGCCTGGAATTTTCGGGGCGGGCTGAAATGATCACCCCTACCCTTAGTTGACAAGATGCCAAGCTGAGGTCTCCCTTAGTTGTCAAGGTGCTAAGCCAAGATCTCCCTTTGTGATCGAGGTGCCAAGCCGAGGTCTCTCTCAGTGGTCAAGGTATCGTCTAGCTCGAGTTCAATTCGAATTAGAAACTTGAACTTAATCTCAGAAGTTCGAGCTCGACTCGACTCAAACTCAACTACCTTCGATTGTAAGTCCCCTAGCAACTGAGATGCCGAGTTGAGGTCTCCCTCAGTTGGAAAGAGAGTGGCATTCTTTTAATTTATAAGGAGAGAGAGATGACATTCTTGTAATTTGTAAGAAAAATAGAAAGTGGTATTCTTGTAATTTGAAAGAAAAAAGCAAGAAAGAGAGAATTGGTAGGAGAGAATGACATTTTTGTAATTTGAAAGAAAAAAAAAAAAACAAAAAACAGAAGAGAAAGAATTAGTAAAGAGTATCATTTTTGTAATTTTTAAGAAAAAAACTGTCCTATTAGGTACATATTTCAGCTTAATATATTTACATAGATAGATACTATATTGACACATTTTGAGAAAATTCGGATACCGAATCGTTTCATTTTAAAGTTGAGGGAACAAAGTGGAAGTAAAGGGTATTAATCGAAAATTTTCCAAAAAAAATACACATTTGCGAAATGCCAATGTCATCAAAATATATATAAAAAAAGATTTGCCACAAAATCCTGCATGCAGGACTCAGGACCGAGATTTTTTCTCAACAATGATTGCAATTATTCTGATCTAGTGGTTGGTACTTTATACTTGATAGTATACAACACGAACACATACAACGGGAGCTGCAGGGCCGGTAGTCAATTCCGTCACGTCTCAAAACTAGAAGTAGAAGAGTAACATGAGATCGTTATTTATAATGATGGTTCGTTATTACACGCCAAGAGAACAAAATGAGTGGCTCATAGTTATAAATAAACACACACCTTGTGGCTATAAGTTTAACTGCCATGATTGCCTGCTCCGCGACATCCCCACCACCACAGCTTGGTTCATGGTCGGCACAAGCACCTTCTCCCCGCCCTCGACCGGGTCGACTCTTGCTGAACTCACCAGGAACAACACTTTGTCTTCTCTGCTCCATAGAACGATTGCTCCTTTTCCACTCAAAATCTCAACCAAGAGTAATCGCGTTTCTGCCCGCAGCTTACGCAACTCCAATTCGGAACTGGCCCTCGTTGAGGGACCTTCATGTATTTTCGTTGGACCTATCGAGACGGCAAGTCAAGAAACCCTAGAGGCTCTTTATCGTCAGGTATGATTTGATTCTGTTTTCGATTACTAACTGCAATTTCGAAGCTCAATTTCTCGATGAATGATATCTTGACCCTCTACTGTTTTTTTTTTTAATCTATTTTTTTTGCCCTCTTGTTCCTGTCTACTTTAGTTGATTTAGACGCAGATTTGATGTTGAGTCTGATTTGTTCATGCGTGTTAAAAAGAGGAAAATTATAAAAGAGAAGGTGTTTTCATCCTATTTGTATAATCGCGTCTTACGATAAGAACCCAAATTGGTTTAAATTTGATGACTATATACTAAGGAAATACTGAAGCTATAGATTACTAAATCTAATCAAATCTTAACTTATTCAGTATGATCCATAGGTCAGATCCTTAAGCATTGATATTATTTATCTCACTCATCTTGTTACAATACTTAGCATTGCATGACATTATGAAGTTGTTTGTTCAATCAGTTTTGTCATGCTGGTGATTTTTATATTCATTATGGCATGACTTGACCTGCAACCAATCTGTTTATGATTAATCCTTTATTGTAGAAGAAACTAACTGTTTCTTATTGTTCTAGGCACGAGATGCTTATTACAGTGGGAAACCTTTGATTGTTGACGACATGTTTGATAAAGTAGAGGTGACTTTAAATATTATCTTTATCCCATGTAACTAGATATACATAATACATGGTGTCGTGGCTTACATGTTCAAATATTTGATTTTGTGAGAATATTCTGAACAGCTTAAACTGCGGTGGTATGGTTCAAAGTCTGTTATCAAGTATCCTCGATGCAGCCTTAGGCGACAATTAACATATGCAGATGCTGAGGTGATAATATATAGAGTTTTGTTTTTGCAAGATGAATTCACCCTTGACCTTGGTCATATATATGAGGTTGCATCTCACTGTTCCTCATAGTTAATATAGATAATGACTCTTGGTGGGGCATATCCTATAAAGAAGAACAACTTGACACTTTTTAAGGTTGTCCATGGACCTATTCTGAGTTGGTTATTTGTTTATTTATACTTCTTTGGCCACCAAAATCTTATCCTTAGATCAAAGGGTAGGGTTCTCTATTTTGATATTTGGTCTATGCCTCAACCAATAAGCAGCCAAATGCAGTTGCTGATTTAAATTGATGAACAATCACATAGAGGCCATTGCTTGATCCAATGGTAAAATCTTTTGCTGACAAGAACATGAGTTTGATTATGAGAGTGGCCAATTTGTGCAAAAAAATGCTGAAGGCTAGATCTGTATCCAGTCTACCCCTCCCAAAACCCTGGACGGCTGGGACAATCATTGGGAAAACCTTCATTGATGAGCAATCACATATATAAAAGGGGGGGATAATTCTTTTCTTTTCTTTTTTTTTTTTTTTTTTGAGTTGCTGCATGGGAGTACCATTTTCTCAACCAGAAGATTTAATGACTTGTGTGTAGGGCAGGAAGACCCTTCACAGGTTTTGGCATTAGCAAGTGTATGGATCCTGTTACTTGCATTTGGCAGCTTGGCTTTTCTTCTACCGACAATCTACACCGTTGGTCTGGCTTATCATGATGCATTAAACTCAAGATTTCCCCTGATTAGAGAAGCTCCTTCATTGGAATTTCTTGCAATGCTGAATGGCATTCTATTCATGGCATTGGGGTCTTTGATTGGTTATCCAGTTGCATCAGCTTCTGGTAATAATTTTCACTTGATGTCCTCTCAGCTATTAGTATTTATCTCTGGAAAGTGCAACATGAGTTCTGTTTCATGTTTAATCCATCATGATGATCTTAGTCAAATATCAATAGCAGACTATTTTTGAGAGGTGTCAGCTAAATCCTGAGAATAGTGGAAAACTATGATAACTAGATACGCATACATGCGTAAACACAATATACTACATGAATACTTTTAGATGTATATTAGCACCTTTAAATGTTGAATGGTATGTTTAAGCAAATTATAATATAAAAAATCTATATATGTTAGAAATGCAATTAATTTTGGCAAGGTACGAGTCTTGAGAAGTGACATTGAGCTCAAAGTATTAGATATAAAACATGATTTTAGCATATTATATGAGATGCATATACCTGTTTTTGTGTCTGGGATTTTAGTCTATGGAGAATTTAACCCTGTATCATGTATCCTTGTCTGTGCCCATGTCAATATCTGTATTTGGGCATTGTGGTAGAAGATAAAAAAAATGATACATCATGTAATGTGTACATATGAATAATAAAAGGATGCCATGTTGTATTTGTCAAATAGTAAATGCCAAAATCCCTAGGAACTACTGTGATTCTTTTCTTTGTTATCATTATTTGAAGTACATTAGTTCTTGATATATGCACAATGTTCAAAATATTGATATTGGGTGGTTCAGGTGAGTCAAAGTTACAATATGTATCGAAATTTTGAACCTTATATATATGCAATTAATCATGAACCCGTGCATTAACTTTATATATTGTATACTAGAAAAATACAGTTATGAAGTGGGAGATAATTGTAGTAGAATCTATTATGTCCTTGTCATCATTTCATTTTAAGATATCCATGAAATCATGAACTATAATTGGTTGTTTATGATATAAAGGTTTATTATTCAGTCAAGTTTTGTGCTCCATGTAGGTATAAAATCAGTTGCAATTGGTTTTTAAGTTAGTCATTGAAGTGATTCTAGACAATGTTTGAATGCATATGCTGTTATGATTTTGTCAAATTTATGGCACTGTGAATAGTCTTGTTGTTTTTAGCCATATAGAACATCATGAATCCATTGGGCCTCATTCTTTGTGTTTTTTTTTTTTTTTTTTTTTTTTGTATTGTTGCAAAAATTGCTGTAAATATGTGAACTCATGAAAACCAAATCAACTGGGCATGTATTCACTGGGTGATTTGGTTTATCCTTTGACTTATAGCATGTTTGGGTTTTTTAAAAGGCCACAAGCAACTGTTATGATTATGTGAACTCATTGCTCTACATGTTAGGCTACTTTCATATTTCTTGATATTCCTAGCAAGGTAGTGGTTCTTAGAGGTAGTCTCCATTTTATCCTATGATAGCAGGTAGTTCATGTATCACTTGGGGTACCAACAACAAGCATAAATTGTTAGGCTACCTTGACATTTCTTGATTGTCACAGTAAGGTAATAGATATTAGATATTAAAGTAGTCTCTATTTTTTCATATGTTAGTAGGTTATTTTTGTATGTTTGGGGTAGGAAAATGGCATGCACTCATTGGGTGATTTGATTATTAGCATTGTTTACGTTTTATTGTAGGGTTGCAAGAAAGTGTTGTGACCATGTGAACTCCTTTAAACCAAATTACCTACACATGCACCCATTTAGTGATTTGGTTTTTCCATTTGATTGATAGCATGCTTATATTCCATTGGAGGGTGGCATGAAAATGTTGTGGTCATGTGAACTCATCGTTCAAGCTAGTCTGGTATTTCTAAATTGTCATAGTAAAGTAGTATACCCTAGAGGCAGTTTCTAATTTTTCATATGTTAGTTGTTAGTGTGTCATTGGGGGTAGCACCAACAAGATGCACTGATCGGATAATTTGGTTTTTCATTTTGTATTTTATTAGAAGGTTGCAAGTAAGTGTTGCGACTATGTGAACACATCGAAACCAAATAACCCAGGCAAACACCCATTAGGTGATTTGGTTTTTCATTTGTTTGATAGTATGTTGTGTTTTATTGGAGGCAAGGTTCAAAATATTATGTATCAGGGCCTTCCTGATACGCCCCTACAGGGGGTGTATCGGGTTAGGCCATGGTTTAGAGGGTAGCTGGGACTTAAACCGACCCCTCAAATAAGGGAGTGGACCCTAGAGACATACCTTCCAAGGCATCGAGATGAGGCTGGGTGACAAAGGGGTGCCTTATCACCTAGTCGCCTAGGCAATGGCTTTTTTGAATAAAAAACATGAGTCCTAGGACAATTACCAAGGTTCCATACCAAGCAGCAACCGTCTTTCACCACTAATTGTTTGTAATCTTCATAAAAAATGTATAGACTTCATTTAAACATAAAAATCAACATATTCATGAAAAAAGGAAAAAAGAAAAGAAAACTCAAAAAATAAAGGGGTTGAGCCTCTATTTTTGACCTAGGAAAGGAAGAAAGGAAAAGAAAGGATGAAAATGATCAACATGTGTTGATTGGACAAAATTTTGAGTTCTTCCATGCTTATCAGTTCAGGCTTTGAAGCCTTTGAGGGTTGAAGACACTATACATGTTAATTGGACCCTAACAAAAATAATAAAAAGAAACTAGTAATTTACCTCAAACTAATTTTTTTTTTTTGAAAAATGATAATTATTATTGCAAAATAAAGGGGAAGGATGTACAAAAGCTTTAGCAAGGTTGTCTCCATGGTTTTGAAGTCACCAAGGTGAGGCTAGGCAATAGGGGGTGCACTATTGCCTAGTTGCCTAGATAATGTGTTGAAGTATAGACAATCAACTTAATAATTATCCATATTTTTCACAAGAAAAGTATAAACTTCTTTTTAAAGTATTGGCAATCAACATATCCATGAGAAGAAAAAGAAGAAAGAAAAAAAATCCGAAAAATATAGGGTCCAAAACCCCTATTTTTGTTATAGGAAAAGAAGAAAAGAAAAGGTGGAAGAAGAAAATGTGTTGATTAGACAAAGTTTTAAGTTCTTCCTTATTGATTCAGGTTTGAAGTCTTTGAGGGTTCAATACAGCAGTCATTGATAAAAAAAGTAGTTAGCAATGTTTGTGTTGATTAAACCTTAACAAATAAGAAAATAATAAAAAGAAATTAATATATAAGCACACAAAATGAATAATTTTAGTTTAATAATGTCTATTTTATAATTACAATCTCAAAAAATTAAGAATATAAAAGTATTTTATTACACAACATACAAAACTGCTTGACGATTAGGTGAAGTGAGCCTCCAAGGGCTCCTTGTCGTCTATGTGCCTGCGTAGGCGTTGCCTTGACAACTATGGTTGTCTCATTGGCTGCATACTATTAAGCTCTCAAAATGTTCTTTGAAGATTTAACGTTTTCTTAAAATGAACTAAAAGAGATCTCAGCAAGAGTCATTTGTGGTATCAACATGAGTCAAACCGAAGAATTTAGTTTGAATAATGTTTGTTTTAATATTATAATGCCAAAAGTTAAGAATATGAAATTATCCAAGTGTGCCCTATAAAAAATATCTTAGCGGTTAAGTAAGGCGACCCTCCATGAACGCCTTATCGCTTAGGCATTGCCTTGACAGCTTTGACTAGAGGTAGTAGCAGGTTTTTCTTGTATTTTTTTTTTTCAGGTAACAACAAGAGACGTGCACTCAGTGGGGGGGTTTAGTTTTTTATTTGATTGGGGCATGCTTGTTTTCTATTAGTAAGTCACAGGGTAGTGTTGTGACGATGTGAAATCATCACTCTACATGTTAAGCTACCTTATATTACCTAATTGTCATAATTATCCTTGAGATGGTCTCTATTTTTTCATAGGGCAAGCGGTTATTTTTGTAACATTCGGTGTAACAATAGTAGATATGCCTTCACTGGGTTATTTGGTTTTTCATTTGATTGATAGCAGCATGTCCGTGTTTTATTGGATGGTTGCAATAAATTGTTTGACTATGTGAGCTCATCAAAACAATCACCCACACATGCATTCACTAGGTGATTTGGTTTTTCTTTTATTTATAGGATGTCCACGGTTTTTTAGAGGCCATAAGAAAGTATTATGATTCTATGAACTTGTTGCTCCACACATTACCTTCGTATATCTTGATATTCCTAATAGGGTAGTGGACCCTAGATCTTTAATTTTTCATATGATAGCGGTTGGTTTATATATCATCTGGGGTAGCAACAACAGACATACACTCATTGGGTGATTTGGTATTTCATTTGATTGATAGAATGTCTGTGACCATGTGAACTAGTTGAAACCAAATCATCCAGCCGTGCACTCACAAGGTGTTTTTTTTTTTTTTTTTGAAATTTGATTATTAGCATGTTACCAACTTATTGGAGGGTCACAAGGAAGTGTTGTGTTGTGTCCATGTGAACTCATCAAAATCAAATCACCCAAGCATGCATTCACCTAGATGATTTGATTTTTCTTTTGATAGATGGCAGGTTAGTGTTTTATTGGAGAGTCACAAGAATGTATTGTGACCATATGAACACATCATAATACATATTAGGCTACCTAGGCAATTCTTGTTTGTCATAGTAAGGTGGTAGACCTTGGAGGTAGTGTCTATTTTTTCATATGTTAGCAGGTTATTTTTTGTATCATTTAGGGTAGGAAAAAGGCATACACACTCATTGAGGGATTTGATTGTTACCATTTTTGTGTTTTATTGTGGGGTTGCAAGAAAATGTTGTGACCATGTGAACTCATCAAAACCAAATCACCCAGGCATGTGCTCATTGGGTGATTTGGTTTTTCATTTTTTTGATCAATAACTGCATATTTCATTAATAAATAGAGACAAACTACAAAAGAGGAGAGATAAAATCTCTTAACCCTCCATAAAAACTAAAATAAAGTTAAGTTGAGCCCAAAAAAACTGATTTCTTCCCACCCCTTGTTTTGCTAATGCATCAAACATCCATTAGCAGTTCTTTTAACTCAATTCAATTTCACATGCATGCCTCATGTCAGCCATTTAAATTTCTTTCTTTTATTGTTGTAGTTCCAAAGTCCGGTTCCTTCCTTTTGCAGCCAGACCACCACCAGCTTTGAGTCCCCTTCTATAACGAGCTTACTAATGCTCATGTCCTTTGCACACCTTCCAACATGGCCAAAATCTCAGCCCTCAAAGGTATCCCCTTCACTTGTTGGCCCTGAAAATAGACCAATAATTCTGCCCTCATTCCTGAAAACACCACCATACTTGATTGATAGCATACTTGTGTTTTAAATTGTCATTAGTAAGGTGATGATCGTTTGAATTAACCACTCAACTTCTTAGCCTACCTTGGTATTTCTAAATTGTCACAGTAAGGTAATAAACTGTAGAAACAATCTCAATTTTTCAATATGCTAGTGGGTTGTTAGTGTATCATTTAGGGTAGCAACAATAGGATGCACTCACTAGATAATTTGGTTTTTTGTTTGATTAATAGCATGTCTGTGTGTGCCTTGCTATTTTATTAGAGGGCCACAAGTAAGTGTTGTGGCCATTTGAAAAACATCAAACCAAATCAGCTAGGCAAATACTCACTAGGTGATTTAGTTTTTCTTTTGGTTGATAGCATATCGTGTTTTATTGAAGGGTCAAAAGAAAGTGTTGTGATTATGTGAACTCGTTGTTCCACATGTTAAGCTATCTTTGTATTTCTTGATTGTCAAAGTAAGGCAGTGGACCCTAGAGGCATAGTTTTCAAGGTGTCAAGGCGAGACTAGGTTTTTTTTTTTTTGAATAAAACCCATCTTTCACAATTAATTATCATCTAGTCACCTAGGTGATAAGCTTTTTGAATAAAAACCATGAATCCTAGGGTAATTCCTTGGGTTCCATAGCAAGCAGCATCTGCCTTTTGCAAGTAATTGTCTTTAATCTTCATGAAAAATGTATAATCCTCATTTGAAACATAGTAAATCAACATATTGATGAAAAAATGGAAGAAAGAAAAGAAATTTCATAAAATAGAGGGGGCTGAGCCTCTATTTTTGTCTTAGGAAAAGAAGAAGAAGAAGAAGATGATGATGATGATGATGAAACTAATGAATGTGTTGATTGGATAAAATTTTGAGTTCCTCCATGCTTATCAGTTCAAGTTGAAGTCTTTGTAGGGTTCAAGGTAGTATACATGTTGATTGAACCCTAAGAAATGAGAAAAATAATAAAAAGAAACTAGTATTTTAACTTAAACTGAATAATTTAGTTTAATGATGTCTATTTTATTATTACAATCTCAAAAAATTAAGAATATGAAAGTATCCAAGAGCACCATGTAAAAAATATCTTTCTGATTAAGCAAGGGTACCCTCCATGAGCACCTTATTGCCTAGGCAACGCCTTGACAACTATGGATACTAGTATTCTTTAATCAATACTTGGAAACTCAGCTACTCCAACTTGGTAATCTTGTAGTGAGGTGTTTTTGCTCTTACCAAGTTGAGTTAAAAACAAACAAAGGAGATTGTGAACAAAGGAGGTGATGATTGGGGCAGGGTAACATTATGATCTGAAACAATATTGTTTACTTGAGTGCAACTTGTTGCAGTTGGAGCACTTCAGGGCCTCTGGAAAAATGACTTGGTGGCTTTAAAGGGAGCATGCCCAAATTGTGGGGAGGAGGTTGGTTGTGATAAAGCATAGATTTTACTCATTTCAGAAATTTCCAAAGTTTTATGAAAATATTCTGAGTCCGTCTTCTTCAACAAAAAAGTATCTTGAGCCACTCCCTTTAAACACTAACTATATTTCCTTGCAGGTCTTTGCATTTGTGAGGGCAGATCAATCCAATCGAGCTCCTCATAAGGCAGATTGTCATGTATGTGAGTCCTCTCTAGAGTTCCGCACCAAGGTTGAGGTAAATATTCCCTATGTTCTTTTCTTATAGTCAATGCACATGCTGATTATAAGAAGTATGCATGAATTTACATGTAGAGCACTCTGTTTTATATAATCTATATTTTAGTTGACATTAATAATGAAAAGGAAATATTATCTATGGATTAGATAATAAAGCAATGGTTTCCCAAGTTAACTTCTTCCAAGTCAGTATGTTCCTAGCAATTGGTTGTTGACAAAAGAAAAAATCTAGAAGTTAGTTGATTTGGGAAAACATCCCAAACAACATGCACAGGCCTAAATGGAAAAAAAATAATAACAATTATAAAAGACTTATCTCTTGCTTTTGGAAATGATCCTTGATGGAAAAGATCCATAGTCTTTTTGTTGGATGGATATATACTCTTCAGTTTGCTTATCAAAAAAAAAAAAAAAAAAAGATCCAAAGTCTTAATACTGGCTGTAGAAGCTGTGCAATTTTCATGGTTTCTAAATGGAGTGAGATCTTTCAGCCAATATAGACATTATGCAACTGATATAAATGACTCTGATTCCTTTTTTTTTCCTGAGTGGAGGCATAAAATTCTGCACGAAATGCTTTACCATGCTATCAACCAAGAAAAGATATTCCGCACTTTCATTGTTTTATGGTGCCTATTGCCCTGGATGTAGAACTTGGTCTATTCAGCTATTCAATCTCAAGTCACAACTTTGAGGAAATTATGCCCCATTATCTCCCATTGGAAGGGTCTTAAATGCAGGATACTCAAACTTACCTTTTAATGAGTAGACAAATGTGAATTTAGGGTAAGAAGTTAAGATCAAGGAAGATGTTCCTAACGTTTTTTTTTGAAGATAAATAAAGAAAAAAATGTATTGCTAAAGATAAAAGCAAATACAACTTAAATAGGTGACAAGAGGTTACTCCCATAAAAAAACTGCAACAATACAGAAGAAGTGGAGGGAAGAAATTTCTGTTGAAAATTTTATTTCTGCTCCATATCATCTTAGATAATGTTGTAGGTTTTGAATAGAAATAGTTAATTCTACCCTTGCAATTTATGTTGGGTAAACATCGAATATCTGCTCACACGAGTACCATTCCTATATTCCTTACATGTGAATGGGATTGGGATTTTATGCAGCAATCTATTTCTAGACATGGCAGACGATGGGTTTACGGTCGCGTTTACTTGGTCCGACAAGGAGGTTCAAATCGTGGTCAAAGATGGTGGTAAATGATTTGATGGCACAGCCGTTATTCACTTGGCGTGCTATTCTCAATGATCATCATGTATAGTTGCTTCATTCTTTCATCTTGGTTGCCATGAGACTGTAATCTTAACAGACAAATAAACGTTAAGTTTTAGTCATTCAGCAATTTCACATTGGGGTTCTACAGTAGAACATTTGCTCGAGGACATGAGCTAAGTTTTTTTTTGTACCAATGGAATATTGCTTTCGCTGATAGATCACTTGGTTTACTGGGTATTACTTGTTAGGAGCAGGTGAGCCCGTCATTCGTTTAGTACCGATCCAATTAACGGCTTCCATTCCAATGGACTGTTTAGAATAGGCAACATCATTATTAGCTTGGCACAAATAAAAATGCTTTAAGAGTTTTCTCGAATGCAAGGGGAAGATGTCAATTTGCAAGCTGATGAAATTTCAATGGTCGGGCCATCGGGGTATGTATTGATGCTATGAACCATGAACTTGGCATCACCCCCAAGATCGAGCATCATGGATGCATGGTTGACCTACTTGGACGTCCAAGCTTTGGTTGAACGTGACTCATGAATTCATTCAAGGTATGCTTCTTGTGCCACATGCGGGGTCTGAGGTGCCCCCCCCCCCTCCCCTAATTGGTGCTTTCAAGATTAATGACAACGTCCTGGTCGGCCAAGAGAGGAGGGGGAGGGGGGTTGGTGAAATTCACCAAGTTTGGGGCATAGGAGAAAATCCATTCTCCACCCAATGAAATTTATGAGATAAAGATGAGATTTCTGATTTCTAAGCAAGCAATTAAGGATAGTGGGTCATGTAGCATGTAAAGTAGTGAAGGACTGAAGGGGTATTCTTTGATGTGCTTGATATGGAAAGGGAACAAAAGAGACTAGGCTATATGAATATATTCTTCCATGGGATCTCCCTTCTTCCACAACGAGAAGTTGGCAAATGTCCAGGAGCCTGTCAATGTCTTCGTGGCTTTACGCATGGATACATCAATACAAAAGCATTTTATAAGAGCCCATAAAAATACAAAAATCTCTCTTAAAGTTTTTGACAAAAACCTCTCTTGGATTTTTAAATAAATTAACAAAAACCTCCATTCCATCAATCACCGAGATGGAAAACATTAAACCAAAGAATCAAATATTTTGAAATGCCTATTTTGCCATTTTGCAAATTAGTTTGCATCAAGGTTCAAAGTATCGATACGTGTCGGCCCGTATCGTGCTGGTGGGGGGTGTCGGGGTTTTGACCGGTTCAAGGGGTGGAGGAGCCTTAAACAGGCCCCCCTGAATCGGTTTTGAAAAAAAATAAAAAAAAGCAAAAAAACACTATCGATATCACTCGATACACCCCTACCGACGTATCGGGCATGTTGATATTTTGAACCTTGGTTTGCATCTATTTTTACTAAAATACCCCTATCAACCTCTTTACTTGGCCTCTTTTCTTATCCCACTTTATCCAGTCTTATAGTTTCTCTTACTGTGTTTTCATTTCATTTACAAACAAAGCAAAATACGAGTTGCTTAAAGGGCCAAGTTCTCAGTAAACGAAGAGGAAGCAGTAGTAGCATCAGAGAAGATAAGAAAGAAAGCAATCAAGAAAGAAAGAAACACTTCGATTCCAGTTTCTGGTGAAATTGATGAACATAGAAGGGGGAAAGGGAATGGTGTGTGTCACAAGTGGAGCAGAGTACATTGCCTCATGGTTGATCCAGAGGCTCCTTTAGCAAGGCTACTCCGTTCGCACCACTGTTCGATTGGATCCAAGTACTTTCTTCTTTTTTGGGGTAAATTACAAAGACCCCCCATACTATAGGGTCTGTGACAAAGACCCCCTGTACTTTGTTTTGCGACAAAGACCCCCTTGTACTATGACCGTGAGACAAAGACCCCCTTCCGTTGAAATCCGCTGTTGCAATATTTTTTAATCCCCAACTACCCTTGTAGAGAAAAACATTGTTCATCTTCCTCGACCTCGTGATACACAAACAGCGGCGGTAGCTGTTGCGGTGGCAGCAGACTTCCGAAATCCTCCCTCTCTCTCTCTCTCTCTCCCCCGGTCTCTCTTCTTTCCCTTCCCCTTTCTTCTTCCCGATTTCCTCTATTTTCCATTCCTTGCATATGGAGAGAGAGAAAGAGAGAGAGAGTAACTATTTTCCGTACCTCTCCAACATCCTGTCTTTCTGCTCTTGGGTGAATTTCGTCCAAAACCTCTTCTTTGATAGAGGCTATGGTTGCGGAGACTGTGTTGCTCCCCCAAGTGCATTGGACTGGTAGACATTGAGGTCCTCGCTTGACGACTCAGTTGCTCCGCCACCAATTTCACCACGGCCTTCGAAGGCCATCATCATGGGAGGAATTGATCCCAGTGACGGACTGATAGGTAACCCTAGTTGGAATATAGTTGGGCATGCTTATATATATATTTTTTTGGTATAACCCTATAAAGATGTAGTTTTGTGAATTAGATATGACAAATTAAGCCTTTGAATCCGCCCTATGCCCAACAAACATGTGGTGATAAAAATCTACCTCAGATTATGTGAAAATTAACTCAACCCAGTTTTCTGCATACTTGGGCCGGCTCAAAACCAGGTAGCATCTATAAAATGCGCCTTCCAATCAGACCCATGTCCAATAACTCGGTTTCTTTACAGTTCAATCAGCGACTTTGGCAACCATCGCCACTCTCATTTACTAAATGGAAAGGCGACCAGCCGAAGAAATCAAATAAGTCGTCTTACAGGATAAAATGAGAGAGAGATATTTCAGGCTTTCAACTTTTGAGACGAAATGGTACCACCGGAAAGCTCTGCAAATTCTTTCCATTAAAAAATTATGAAAGGAGACTCAGGCCGCCGATGATCTCTTGGGTGCGATTCACGTCTTTCCATTAAAAAATCACGAAAGGAGAATCTAAAGAGAAACTGTCCCCAGTTTTGTTAGATTCTCTGTTATTTCTCGTCAGCTCTCTGTAACATCATTGCCTAACGACCGAATCTATTCACAGCTCTACACTACAATTAAATGATCCTTCCTATTAGCAAGGTCGTCGGCATGTCATGGTGTGATATAGTCAGTGACTCAGTGCCTCCGATCACGCCACCTTCCATGCCTACTACGGTCCCAGTGCCCAGTGTACCAGTGTCTTGACCAGTCAGGTGGTCTACTAGAATTGCGACCATAAACCCTTCTGGGCTCAGAAAAATTCCGTCCGAACAGGTACTCTGGGGCCCTCACTGGACTCTTCTCCGGGCTCCACATTTCAAGTTCCGGCTCACCGGCAAATTCGTTTGTCTCCCAACGTAGACCAAGAGACATCAAGGGAGGCTGCACGACAAACGCATCATAATTGCTTTGGTTAGCGTGAAAAGGGGATTGATACAGAACCCTATCCACCCATTCTGAGTCATAAAGCGAGGACCTCAATGCCTACCAATCCAATGCACCTGGGGGAGCAACATAGCCTCCGCAACCATTGTCTCTATCAAAGAAGAGGTTTCAGACGAAATTCATCCAAGAGCAGCAGGACAGGATGTTGGAGAGGAAGGAAAACAGTTTCTCTCTCTCTATTTTCAAGGAACGGAAAACAGTTTCTCTCTCTATTTTCAAGGAACGGAAAACAGAGTAAATCGGAAAGAAGAAGGGGGAGGAGAGAAAGTGGAAGGGGAAGAAGAGAGACCGGGGAAAAGAGAGGGAGGACTTCGGAAGTCCGCCACCGCTGCAACAGCTACCACGAAGATGAAGTGTTTTTCTCTACAAGGGTAATATGGGGATTAAAAAATATTATCAATAGAAGGCTAATGGAAGGGGGTTTTTATCTCAAGGTCATAATATAGAGGGGTCTTTGTCACAAAACAAAGTACAGGGGGTCTTTGTCATAAACCCCATAGTACGGGGGGGTCTTTGTAATTTACCCTCTTTTTTTCAACTCAACATCAGATCATGTTCAAAAAACACATTGACTTGTTTTGAGCATCTGCCAATTCCTCAAGAGTAACCTATTAACCCCTTTTAATTCTTTTTCAAAACCAAAGTTCGAGGAAGATGTAAATCATCTTAAAATCCTACCGGGTGCATCCAAGAAGCTCCAAATCTTTGAAGACGATCTCAACAGACCAGACAACTTTGAACCTGTAAATCTGTAATCGACGGCTGCAAGGGAGTCTTTCACTCCACTGGACACTGCTTAAAACATCAGTAGAGGAAACACTAGGCATTCTCAAGACGTGTCTGAATTGCAAGATGGTGAAAAGAGTCATTTACACTTCCTCTGTCTCAGCTGCTTTTACCATCAACAAGAACATCCGGGAAATTGATGAAAAAGTGTAGACAGATATGGATTTTTTCAGGGCATTTAATCTTCCTGGCGCTGCATATGCCATTTCTAAGACCGTCATAGAAAGGGAAGTTCTTCAATTTGCTGATGAACATGGATCAGATGTTGTTACAGTGCTTCTTTTGGGGTAAAATATGCATTTGGAAAGATTTGATTCTTTGGTTTAACGTTTTCTGTGTTGGTGATTGACAGAAAGGAGATTTTTGTTAATTTATTTAAAAATCTAGGGGAATTTTTTATTAAAACGAAACTATAAGGAGATTTTTATGATTGTCAGAAACTTCAGGAAAGGTTTTTTGTATTTTACCCAAAAATTTATTAGTGATATCAATATGCACCGATACCCAACTTTGGCCTTTGGGTGTTGGGCGTATGTCCTGGATTGCAAGGTTCAAAGTATCTTATATCTATACGCTCGATACCTCTAAAACAATCAATACACTTTTTTTTTTCAGTCAATGGGTATATTAGGAGGGGTTCTAACATTTAAACGAATAAACACATAAATGCCCTGAATCCTACTATTTAGCCTGATCGTAACCCTATTATAAAATATAAAACTTCTGGGGAATACTGATGACTTCCTGGTTTGTATTACAAAACTATGGATCATGATACCATTTCAAGAATATAGGATCAGACATTTCAATGCGATTATTCAATAGCAAATATTTGGCAAGTATGATGACAAGATACAGGCAACATCTAAGAGAAAAATTAGATAATTCATTCTCCGCAAACACTCAACTAAATTCCCTTTTTGGTAAAAGGATATTGTGGTACATTCCTCTCACCTGTATTAGTTGAAGCATCTATGTTCATGATCCCCGTATCTGCCTAATGCACAATCAAGACAACTCTAGTTAGATGAAACCAACAAAATTTCCATTGTTTTGTGGGCCTAGCGTAACATGTATTGAAACAACAAAAGACGTCAATAGAGTTGAGGATTTGATCCAACTGTTCAATAATAATGAACAAAATCTAAAAGTGAATAAAAAAGAAAAAATCACTTGGGCCAAAATAGTTGTTGAGTCAGCATGAACCAGCTGATCAGAAATGTGCCAAGCTGTATACAAGAATCCACACAAGCTGCACAATGGAAAAACAACAAGAAGATTCTCATTTAGTTGATGAATGAGTGGTCATTTAATCCATAAGTGCATGTTCCTATACACGACTATACATACCAGAAAAAGAGTTAAAGAAGCAAAAAGCCCCTCTTGAAGCAGTGTTCCATGGCCTCCAAAATCTTCTTCGTCAACCTTTAGTATTAATGAATAGTACCCATAAATAATCCCAGAAGATAGCACGAGGAATCTGGAAACAATTATGTCTTGTTAGATTCTCGAAAACAACATCAGAAAACACATGCACAGACACTGAAGTTGTGATGTCGAGACAGAAAATCCCAAAAAGGAGTTCTAACATTGCATAACTGAAGGGTTTTAAGGTAAAAGAGCAGTTTCTTTTTTATGTGTGACTTATCCCAAGTTTGTCCTACCAATAAATGTTAAGACAAATAGCCGAGTATGGTACATCATCGCAAAAAACGGACCAACAAAGGCATCACTGACAGTTAGCTTTAGGTCATGTAAGAGGATGGGCCTAAGACCAACTCCTTAAAGTTGACAAGCAGAACAAGCTTTTGAAGAGAATACATCATCGCAAAAGAAAAGCCCAATAAATGACATATTACTTGGGATTGTTTCTCTATCTCTAAGACCAGTTAGCTCTTTACTGCCAATGATCTAATAAGACTTAGGGGAAAACAGAGCCTAAGAAGTATCAAAATTCAAAATGGTTAGGGGTGGCCACGAGCCAAGCTCTTCACGAGCTACTCGAGCTCAGCTCGGCTCGGTTTCAACCGAGCTCGAGCCTAGATTATAGATTCGATTAATAAACGAGCCGAGCTCGAGCCTAATAGAGCTCGGTTCGTGAGCCGGCTTGAATATATATATATATATATGTATATATAATATAATTATAGAAAATAATATATATAATAAAAATATTATAATTCTTATTTTTGTTAAATATCAAATAAAAATATTTTTTATATATAATTTTTAATTTTTATAAAATATATATTTTTTCAAATCAAGCTCGAGCTCAAGGTTTTAGTTCGAACCGAGCTCGAGCCTTATACTTCCTAGGCGAGCCAAGCTCGAGCCTCATACTATTTGGCTCGGCTCAGCTCGAATCCACCCCTAAAAATGGTATAGCTTAGTCTCATAGGACAAGAATCTCCAAGAACTCTGAAACAGCATAGCAATGATAGGAAGAACTTAATGAAAGAAAGTTCAAAGGCTAGGCATTTTCTTGTCATCCTTACAAAGAAAATATTTAGGGAGTGGTGCTCATCATTTGCTCATGGTATCTCCACACAAGCACGTTTTTTTTTTTTTTTTGAAAGCACATATACACACGCACACCAAACACATAGTAGTTGATTTTTCAAAGAAAATCAACAAGGATACAACTACAACATGATGGACTTTCTTGCAATAAATTTGTCTCCAAGCAACAAAACAGAATATGAGACCCCTTTATAATTTATAGTAACAATTGTTTTCTGCATTATGGCAATACCATGGAAACTAAAACACAACTTATTGTCCTGAAGAGATAACCCATACACCAAGTGTGACAAATAAAATTTCTACTCATTCCGGCTGAAATAATTGACTGGGAATCTATATTTGATCTCATGGGGTGCAATGGAACAGTAGAAACATTTGATAAGGATGACCATTCTGAAGTGCCTCAGTGTGTATAGGAGCTTGATATACAGTCACTTTTTGACTTGTGCTAATATAATCTCTATAATTGGTGCAATCACATAGTTCAAGTAAACATATCATATTACAAAGGTATTAAGGTTGTAATGCCTGCAATATGGACCAGATAATGACCCCACACGAATACTACCTTCACCAACCACTAGATGTCATATGAAGGAGACTGCAACTTCAAGAAAAGCCCTAGTCCTTTTCCTTATAACAAGCATATCATGTTACTCTATTTTTGAAGTTATACTTAGAATGGATTATTTTCCTCCATTCAGTACCGTGCCTCACCATTCTAATGCATTTTTACATAAGACCATGACTAATTCCTCCAGCCAACAAGTTCCAATTCCCTGTACTCTCTTTTGCTTCATTATATGGATTTTTACAGTAGTCACTCAAAGCATATACCACCATACAATTAAAAAAAAAATACACTGAGGGATAATAAATCCCATGAGAAGGTGAGGAAGTTTTCACATCTAGTGGCACTATCATCAACTATATCTCATTCATGAGGAATCACCTACGTAAACCTTGTTCATCCACTCTTCCCTAACAAGGTATATATCTTCTTTTAACAAACAGGTTATCAATGTTCCCTAATTAACTAAATTAATGAGCTTTTCAATGCCCCTTGTCTAGAGCCTTCAACTTACCCAATTTTTTTCCTTAGTGATACGGTTATTGGCCTTTGTCCCACACAACAAAGCCATATCAGCAATCATCAAACTCCAATGTGACTAATAAGGGGGGTTATTTGGTGCAATGGATTCCAATGAGGCTAACAATGGGAACCAGCTGATGCTGTAGCAGCATGATCTTCATTTTAATTTTAAGTGATGATGTTACCTTTTTAAAACCTTCTTTGTAGTGTGTGTGGTATATTTGTCTTGGTATATAGTAAATATTTCATTCATAGCCAACAAAGCTTTCACCATGTCGATGTTTCTCTAATCTCTCATGTTTATCAAATTTCAACTGGACCATTGAAGGATTCTGAATGTGCTAAGTTAGCTGCTTTGCAATCCACAGCAGAGAGCAGACACCTTAGGCCTGTGATAGGAAACACAACAAGACAACTTTCCACAGGCCCTGAGGTGCCTGTAGAAGGGTTCCCCAAGCAGCTCAACAGCCTTCTAGCATTTCGCTTGTTATTATTTGGCAACAGAGAATAATATTACAAAACCCTGAACAGTCTTCCTGCCAAGTTGCAGGTCAACAGGGTGGCCTTGCCTGGCTTAAAACAAGGCTGGGCAGATTTCATGGTTTCTTGAAAAATAAAATATCTTACAAAAAATTTTAAAAACTACATTTAAATATTTATACACAGGTAAAATATATTGGCAAGCACTATTATTGCCTCTTTTTTTATCCCAAGTTCTCCCTCTTATAATTTAAAATGCCATTTTGACTGTAACACCCTTACTTTGTCAATACTCAATACAAAGACCTTGTCCTTGCCAAATCTTTTTTTTTTTTTTTTTTGAAAAAGATGGTTTTATTAAAAAGCAGGAGGTACATGAGTAGATGTACACAGAAATTACAACTCACAGGTTAAGTAGGAAGAAAGCTATCAGTAAACAAGAAATCCCTGTGAGCACCAGCTTTTGCAAGGCCATCAGCAGCAGAGTTTAGCTCCCTAGGGATCCAGCCCAACTGTGCATTTAAGTTAGAGAGGATATCTCTAGCTTCAGCCAAAAAATGAGCTCAAGCCCATGGACCACTGCCCGGGTCAGCTAGCCACTTGATGGTATTTGCCAAATCTCCTTTTATGAGTATGTTCTGGTAGCCCAGATCTCCTGCTATCCTGATTCCAGGTAATGCTGCCATAACTTCAGCCTTTGTTGAAGAGGCTTTCCCAATTGGTCCACTGAAAGCCCAATTAATTGTACCATATCTTCTAAAAATTCCACCAATTCCTGCTGCACCTGGGTTTCCAAACGCACTTCCGTCAAAGTACAGGGTTATCCTCTGGTTCTGCTTCCTCTTTTTTCTACCCACTGGCAATCCATTCTGGTTTCATGGTTATGGTGGATTTGACCCCCCCAAAAAAAAAAAAAAAATTATCATTTTGATTGAGGAAATTAATTGCTTCCATTTTTTTTTGCAACTCCTAGCTTCAGAAATTATTTTTTGTGTTTTTGGGTAATAATCCATAACAATTGGATTGCTTGGTTTGGCGATAAGAGAGCTGATTAAAAATATCTTTAAGCAATATCAATTCCATTTGATGATTAACAAGCAGGCATTAGGATTTGATCAGTTTGAACCTCAAAACCCAATTTATTTTAAACTAGTTTATCGAAACATAACTATATCCTAAAAGCCTATCTATTTTTTAACAGGTTGAGGTTCAAGGTTCTTCAATTCTCAAACTAGTTCCTACAGTTCACATTTGATGAAAGAACAGTCACTCCATCAAAAGAAACCTAGACATATGGGGAAAATAATTATTATACTAAGTGTCTTCGACAAATCATAAAAGAGATGGAAGCAACTAATAGTTCAAAAAGGAAGGGAAACATCAAAACATGGGCATTACAAAGGAATAGCTTGACAATGAATCAACTGGAAAAAGGTATTTTGGTCCAAATAACATCTTAAATTTTAAGTTCTTCTACCAGGTCATGCTGTAACAAAGAGAATTTTTATTAAGAGAAGCAATAAGGCCTTGAAATTCCTTAACAATCCCAAAAGACATCCCACTAGGTCAGACAAAAATCAAGATGAAGGAAGGTAACTAAAAATGAGAGAATGACCCCTATTTTAACCCTAATCTAAACCTCATTAGCTGGTTTTGCAATGCTGTTCCTTCATTGGAAAGATTCACTACCAAGCCCTTTCTTCCAAAAAGCTTTCGAAGCCTTGGGAGATGAATAATCTGAAGCCTTTCAAAAGAGAAATAAACTCAACTGTTGTAGAAATAACCTCCCAAATGGAATGCCAATTAGTACCTGGATACCTGACATACCTGGCCCAATTAATAGGGTTTCTGTGCATAAATACACCTAGTTTGCCCATTTTCCTATGTTGAATTATGTATTGTTTTGATTGACTAGTAAGATGTGTGTCCTTGTATGTGTATTCAGATGCCCATAGGCATTTTCCATGACAATCTCCAAAGCTCATGGCATAAGGACACAACAATAAAAAAATGGATTGCATAAATCAACTATAGAAAAAGCAGGAAAACTTTGAAACCCAAAGTTTTGAGTTCATATTGGCTATGTTCTTTCTTGTGATAGTGTTTAAGAGTCATAATGCTGACATCTCATGCGGACTTCAACTTGGAACATCATTAAGGCTCTAAAAGAAGTGTTGTGCCAAGTATTGGCATGGCCAGACTTGTTTGTTTGAAGTTGTCCTGTTAAAACTGTATAGCCTTGTCTTTTATGCATGACAAGAATTTTATTTCTGTATCTGTCAGAGCTGATCTCCATCCAACCAACCCAACAAGGAATCCAAATGTCCATAACCCTAGTACTCAAAGTTGACTTCCAATGAACTCCAAGAAAAGGCTGTAATAAAGATAAAACCAAACTTCTTTTAAACTTCATAGCTAAAGATTTTAGCTTGGAGTGGAACAAAAGTCTGGCTCATCTCCACTTAACACTACAATGATAAAGAGCCACTCTGATTTGGCATGACAAAAGAAACTTCATAAGCCTTGCCAATTAAGTTCTAGAACTCAAAAAAAAAAGTAACAGAATTTTTTTTTCAAACCAACATCTAGTTCCAGCTATTCATAATCGAATAGATTCATAAAGGACAAACAAGAATGTTCTGGCACTCAGTTAACTAAAAGTGTGCTGGTTTCCTAGGAATCTTTTCTGAGGCCAAAACACATCCAGAATGCATTGTTTTGGATCAGCATTTCGAAAAATGAATTACATCCACAGAAGTACATGCCGTTGAAAGAATGTTAACAATAGCATCTCAAATCATATATAGGACCATTGAATATGGTTCTTAAAAGAAGCAACAATAAATTGATTGCTGAAAAATACCATATTCATTAGATCATAACGCCTTTTTCTTGGATATTATAATGTGCACCATTAATTTAAATTTTAAACTTACACAACAATCCATATGGCCCCTACGAAAGGAACAGCTCCCCACAGTAACCCGCACACAAGAGCGACCACCTGTCGAATCCAATGCAAGACATCTCCCAATTGGTCCTACAGCAAAAAGTAGCCCAATCAAAATGTTATCTCTACTTGGATTTTTAATCTGTGGGTACGATCACAACATATAGACACCAATAAGATCTCTGATTATTTTTAAGAAGTGAAAGAATTCAAAGGTAGTAATGTATACGGTTGGAAATTTTGAACTTTTCTACTCTACAAAGACTTGCGATACATTAAAAGAAGAAACATAATTTCAACTATAGAAATCGATAAAGTAAACTTCACACCACAGGGTTGGGACTTGGGAGAAGATAACAGCATTCTTCCTCAAACTCAAAGTCAATGAAGCAACCTTGAGCCGCAATATTGAAGTGGGGAAAGAAAAAAAGTGAGAATTTAGAAAGGGGGTATCTTTTAACTTTACTAATTTGCAAGAAAAGAAGGAAAAACATCTTTACCCATCTCTCGTTCTGTCAAACAGTATGACAAATTACTAACTTTTACCCAGGAACTAAATAACAGATCAATTTGCGGACTACCTTAATTCCTAACCAAACACCTATACAACACTACATCAATTCAAAACAAATAAAATAAAGAGCACTAGAATTGCAAGAAAATTAAAAGACAATCATAAAATCAGTACCTTGTCCCAGGAAGCTTCAGGATCTAACAACTTGGCAAACTTAAAAGGAGAGATGTGACCGTTCTGCTGTTGCAGCTGGTGGTGAATATTGAATTTAGTCGATTTTCCTTCTTTCATACTGATGATTCAGGAGACAGATTATGTTCTCAAAAATTCCCTAACTTCAAACGAAACTCAGACGCCAGCAAACCACTTAATTCAACTCGGATCAATATCCCGCCCCTGTTACTTACTCTGTTAGCAGCAGTAGTAGCAAATAACGGTGCATGTTAGGGTTCCGGAGCGGCGATGGACTACACAGAAAAACCACTTGTAGTTTGATCTATTGAATCGGCATTATTACTGTAGTGCAAATTTACCATTAAAATAATAATAAACTAATGCTACGCTTAGTAGATTGCTGGTGGCTGCAGGCTACCAGGTACCACAGCCCAGCCAGCGCAGAGAGAGAGAGAGAGAGAGAGAGAGTTTGTAAACTGTTACTTTCCCTCGTAATAATCTCGGTTGATTTAATTGCACATGGGGTTATTTTTGGTAATTAAATCCTACGCGGTCGTACACACGCTACAAAGTAGGAATACGGATCCATCACCTGTACGAACACTGAGGAAAGTCCGGCGTTTCGCGAGCTTTCCACGGACGCAGCTCAATCAACGGTGATTGAAATGTGGCTCTAGTACGGAAGTTATTAAAATTAAAATCATCGAAATGGTGGTTTCGATAATATCAACCGTCCGATCAAAAGTTAAAGGTGCCAACTACCAATGGCACCATTTCATGGTTGCCCGTTAATTGGGTCCATTGGTAGGATATATGATTAGGGATCTACTGATTGGATTGCGGCGCTACTAATCATGTATGGATTGGTTTGGGCCGAATGACATGGGCTTATAATTCCATCTTGTGGGCTCATAAGTTTTAATTTTCTTTCTACCTAATTGATCAGTGATCACTCCTCCAATTCAAAATCTTAATTTTAGTGAACCATCCACTGATTTACCTTCTCAGGTCGAAACATTTTTTTCAACTGATCTGGATTTACGTGAGCTTTCACTTAAGCCTAGTTAGTGTCAGCTTCTCATACCCCACCTTGTTTCGACTCTCTGTCGTCCTAGCAATTCCCATGATGTAAATGTTGTGCATTTTGTTAAAGGTGTGTTTGGTTTCATAGAAAATAGGAGGGAGCAGAATGTATTAAAAAATTAGGACTCCTTGCTTGGGTTCAAATTAGTAGCGTTTTAATTTATAATTGCTTAAATTATGAGCAAAAATTTAAGTAATCATGATCACCATCATCCTCAATTTATATTAGATGAATGTGATGGTTGTGTAATGGGACGTGAACCAATGATACTGCTCCACGCCAACCATATATATTAAGCGACAGATTGAACGATTGTGGGCCATATGCATTATTATGATTCGGTCAGACCAAACTGAGAATCTAAATGGTTCCGTTTTTACCTTAAAATTGTTTTTTTTTTTTGCCAAAAACTGTTGATTCGGTCAGTAAACTATTGACTCAGGAAGCTGAATCGTTGACTCAAACAATAGTTTTGACCTTTTTTTTTGTCAGAACGGGTCATTCATTCGGACCATTCAACCCGGGAATCAGTCCCATAACAGTTTCCTATCTGGTCTGGTTTGGATCTCACCATAAAGATCGTTACTACAATTTAGCCTCATAACTAGTTTGATGATTTTAAACATCATTTGTATCCATTATTACTATATAGTGGATACCTTGGAATATGCAAGGAAAAGACATGCAAAACATTTCCAACCAGTGAGGCTTTGAATTTATTGCTAACTAGTGTAATAGCATGCATTATATAAATGTGTAAATAATGATATATGGTATTTGAATTTAACTTTTACAACTTACATGAAACTCAAGACAATTATGTACTTTATAAAATATATATATAAATAAAGTAGGATTCTAAAAAATAATTAGCAAAAATGTCACGTATATTATATTTTTCAATAACAAGTTTTAAAAAAGTTTTCCATATGAGTATTGGGATGGTACGGTACTAGAGAGCATAGTTTTCAAAACTGGACCGAAAAAACTAGGAACTGGTCAAGTGACCGGTTTCGGTTTTCCCCAAAACCGGAAATTTGCCCAAAACCATTAATTTTGGTCAGCAAACCGCTGACCTGAGCGATTAACTATTTGAATTGTTCGACCCGATAACTGGACCCCCGACCCATTTAGTCCCGGGTCATTTTTAAAAACCATGAGAGAGAGAGAGGGGTGGGGGTGGGGGATTCTGATTTGCTTTTGTTTTTAACTTTCACCTTGTTTTGTCTGTTTGCAATGCAAATCAACTCAAATTAGACCTGGAGCGATGTAAAGTAAAAGCTGAAGTAAAAGTGGATAAAAGTTTGCAATTTTTTTCATTGGCAATCTAATGTAATGGTACTAGTGCAAGTGAATCTGAATTTCAATTTTCAAACTAGGGGACAATTTTTCGTGTAAAACTTGGGTTTTTCCCGATCTTAAATGAGAACAGAAAAAATATTTTTCTCCCAAATTGGAGATGGGATATGCATATAATTCCCCAAACATGCCTTAGACCCATTATTAAAACATATCCAGGTCTAATATTAATTTCTAAAATATCTCTAAGTTTTCCTCAAATTCCTAAAACTCTAAGATGCCATAATTCCAAATTTATAATACCTCAAATTTCTACAATCCAATTCCTAAAATATCCCAAATTCCCAAATCCTATTTCTAAAATACCTCTAAATTAGATGTATTTATGGGTGGATACCTAGAAGCGGGAAAAATTCGGGAATTTTCCATCTTTGATGGGGACTGGGTATTCTGCCCCAAACCCACCCCATTGACAACACACACACACATTTATCGACTCAAAATTTTGGTTGTGTTTGGTACCATTTTGAGTTGATCAATACAAAATGTTAGCGATACTACCAATTTAACTCTATTTTTTATTATTTATATTTACTTTTTCTTAGGGGGTACACAACAAGGGGATGGTTCCTATCCTACACACCTAAAACCCTCCAACCCTGGTGGAAAATGGATTTGATCCCAAGTCTTTGGTACAATTAGTCAAAAAATTTATCAATGGAGGAATCTGGATTGGCCCCTACATAATGTACTTCACAGTACATATCAGCATGCATTGGGAGAGTGCGGATGACCTACCAACAAAACATGTTTCAATCTACCAACGTAATCTTATACTGTGCATCTCATACATTGTGGGTCCCAGTCTCATGATGAGATGTGCGGTGTTAGATCAAATTGGCAGAGGGTTGGAACGTGTTTTATTGGCAGAAAATCTCAATTGGCATTGGAAATGCATGGTTGGTTGGGGTTTTTTGTGGGGCATGTGTTGGATGCACTTTTGTGGGCACGTGAGTTAGTTATTAAATGGGTAAATTGCTGAAGTCTCCCTAAAGTTTCTGACTGTTGTTGAAACCTCCCTTGTAGTTTAATAATTGCAATCATTTCCCCTAAACTTTCTAATACAGTTGCACGTAGACCCCCTCTGATAGGATCTTTTAAAAAAAGAAATAAAATGTCCAAAATACCCATAGTTACCATTGAAGTTGCTTTTAAAATGAAAAAAACATACAAACTTTATGAACAAAAAAAGAGAATTTAAAATTGCAGCTTTACCTTTGAGTGATTGATATGAAGGGAAATTTGGGAAAATAAATCAATTTTGGAAAAGAGATTGGAAGAGTTTCAGGTAGTGATTAAAGAGAAAAATTGGAAAATAAACATTTTTGTTAAAAGTAGCCGCATGAGTATTTTGGACATTTTCATGCCATTTTTAGAAAATTCTATTAAGAGGGGGTTTACTTGCAACTGTGAGAAAGTGTAGGGGAGGTGATTGCTATTACTAAACTTCATGAAGGTTTAAGCAATTTACCCTATAAAAAACATGATAGGACATGAAAATTTATGAACAAGTAGAGTAAAAAAATTACTTGACTATCTGTATATGTCATGCACTTAACCATGAATATAGTCAGCTTTTTTTGATAAATTACTTGACTATCCTTCCCATTTTTTACTTAGGTTGTGTTTGGTTGCAGCGTAAATTTATTTGCACTGATGCCAAATTGTAATAGTGCAAACAATTTGAGTATAAATTCTGATTTATTTCTGTTTCAAAATTTACCTTATTTTGTTAGATTGCAGTACAAAAGAATTAAAATAAGACCTGAAACAGAATATGTAAAGTAAAGCCAATAAAGAAAGTAATCCAGAATTTGCATTCTTTTTATTTGCACTCCAATGTGTTTAGATTAGTGAAATTTTACCAAATGCAGCCTTTGTCTAAGTTTGGAAAGAGTGCAAATACATGATTTACAAATCCGAATATGGATCATTTTGCATGAAACATATTTGTACTTGCACTATTCCCAAACAGAGCTTTAGTATTAAAATTTAAAAAGGCTTGTAAGAGTAAAAAAAAGTAAAAAGATGAAAAAGACATTCATATTTTCAAAGATCTTTACTGCATTTTTTAAATGTTTTAATTATTTGATTAGACTTAAAGATTAACAACATTTGGATAATTATCCTCATGTAAATATTAGCATTATAAAATGCTATTAAAATACCCCTATATGACTTGGAAGCATTATATAAGTAAACATTATGACCTATATGAATTACGTGGTGTTTGTTAATATTGTTAAAACAGTGGCTGACTGCCAATGGATTGGGTTTGGATCTTGGAAATATAACACTTAACCTAGTTCCAACCCAAACCCTATATGGCCTGATAATAGAACTGGACTTATGACTAATCAGGCTAATTGGGTAATGACCCTGTAAGACCCACCTTCCCCAGAATCCGTAGTACGAGAGCACTCCATGAACCATTCAACCCCACCCAAATACAAAAATTAATTGTACCTGCAGGCAGGATTGCTCAAACTTCAATTAGTCCATCCATAGCATGTTAGAAAGATCTCTTGGGGCTTGGTTCAACTAATTGAAGAAAATCAGCATATCGGTTCTCCTCTCCAAGAGTGTGTTTGAAGACCACGTTCATAGATCTCATAAGGATCTTAATTGCCCTTGACCAAGGATGTTTAATCTTTTCCTCGACAATCTCCTATTAGTAAAAATGACAATAGAACAGTAGATTATTTATATTTAATTAAGTATTTTAAATTAAAATCATCTTATATATCAATTTTGTCTTCTTATACATAAAATATAATAAAAATTATAAGTAAACTAGAAAACAATTATATATTATTAACAATATAGTTGATTCAGGTGTGAATATGTTTGGAACAAACAAAAACCAGATCCAACCCAATTATATTAACTATAACCAGGACAAAATCCCAAAATCAGAACCAACATGATCGGTTCGGTTTTATCAGGTAGACTCGATCCACTGAAAGCCCCAACTGAAATGGTTCCAC